AATTGAAGAGAATATATTCTTCTATTGTAATTTGTGACTTGGTGGAAATATTTGGTGTTCCTATCACCCTCCCTTAGCCACACTTTTCTTGACTTCAAATGCCATAACTTCTCTTCTTTGATTAACCACTTGTCATACTCCTTCATAAGGCTTCCTCTTGTGTTCTGCATCACACATTGGTTTTCTCCTTTTAGGTTGTTTGACTCTCCCTCTATCTGTTTCAATCTTTCCTCAATTTTCCCAAAATTTTCTCTATTCCATTGATTTAGAGTCAGTTTTACATGATTTTAGTTTATTTGGCAGGTTTAGTCTCAAGGTAGAAGACAATGAACAATATCTTCTTTTGAAGAGTAGTTTTGACATTTTCAATAGATAACTGACGGTCGGTTAATGGTAGGGACCAACTTGACACTTTTTGGAAGTTTAGGTACTGCAATGACATGTTTGAAAGTTTGGGTACTAACTTGACACTACCCCCAAAGTTTAGGGTACTGAAGTGGAATTTTCCCTTTTGGTTATTATGGTTTCGATTGCTGTTTTTTCTGTTCCTATTTGTTTATTTATTTTTTGGGGAATATTCCACTTTTGGGGCTAGTGTCAAGTTAGTATCCGAACTTTCAAACATGCCACTACAGTACCCAAACTTTCAAAAAGTGTCAAGTTGGTCCAAAACCGTTAACAGATGTTAAGTATCATATAAAAGGACAAAAATGCCCATCATCTATCATCTAATTTTCTTATGATTGGTATCTGATCTCTTTTTTTTGGGGAAAAAGAGAACCTGGGCTTTGTTGTTGAGAACATTAACCGCAGCACAGAAACGACGGATCGATGGGGGCCCTTTCATTTAATGAAGTATGTGGTTTACTATTATTTTGGTATGCAAGATATAACAGAGATTGTTTACCAAACAGAGGATGACTACAAATGCATACCAGTAGGCCGAAGTATGTGGTTTAATATCTTCAACTCCACGTCCCTTCTCAGGCTTCACCAAAGCAATCTGAGCCAACCTTTCTTCCTGTGCTTTCTACTGCTTCAAGTTTTGCTAAGGCTCGATCAGTTCTAAAGGAGTACAAATGTAAATATGTACAATACAAATACAAACAAAATAATACAAAATACAAGGTTTTTCCGTCTATGTATTTGTATTTGTACTCTTTCTAAACTAAGCCTAATTTTCAGTGCCATGTTGTGCCATTAACTCTTGCATTCTTCTTTGTCTGTTAGCTTCCAATTCGGGATCAGCCATTACTTTTTCCTTCCTTCTCCATCCCCGGATATTCTCTTAGCAAGTTGAAACAATCAGAGAGATATTACTCACACAATGTTTAAGCTGAGTTGATGGAGTTTAGGGATGAGAGATTGAGATCAATGGAGGTTTAGTAAAATTGTATGTAAAATAATTTATACAAGGGCAGAATGGGTATTTGGAAAATTTGATACATCAGTCTTAACGTAGTAATAAAAAGGAGGTTTTTGAAAAGTTCAGGGGAGGTATTTGTCAAATTGAAACTAAAAGAAAGGTTTTTATTATTGTAAGAAATTTCAAGGGAGGTTTTTGTATTTTACTAAAAAATTATGGTGAGTTTAAGACAATAGTGAAAAATCATGGTGAGTTTTAGAAAAAGGGTAAACTTCTTAAACTATCCTTATGGTTTAGCTAATTGACTAAGTGTACCCTTACTGTTTGAAAATTGACTAACGCTACCCCTACTGTTTCTAACAATTGACTAACTCTACCCTTACCGTTAAATTCTGTTAACATTCTGTCAAAACTCATTCGCACGTGATATATATATTTTTTAAAACCCAATTTTACCCTTCACCTCTCTCCCCCTCTTTCTCTCTCCCTTTCTTTTTCACCAATAATACGAGGATTCTCAGAGGAGACAATGGCTGAGGAGATAGACCTGTCCAGTTGCGGCGGTTCTGGAGAAGAGAACAAGAGGGGCGCCATTGTTCAGTGGGAATAAGCTACCGTGAGGTCTGGCCAACGTCAGTTGCTGCTGTAATGACAGTGATGTCGAAGAGAACAGAGAAGACAAAATGAACCAACAGTGATTTGGATTTAGCACCTGAAGCGGACACGGGGTAAGCCAAAGCTAAACCATAAGGTTTACAGGGTTCTGATAGCACTCTGATTTTACAACCGTCTTTATACCATTATTTTGGTTAACTAAAAATTTAATGCTCACAGTGCCCTGTTCTGATCGGCTCTCACATGAACCATCCCCAAATCCTTCCACGAGTTGCTCTTCTTCAAGTACAACTTCAGATGGTTTCATGAAGCTTCAAGTGAGTAGAGTTCGTTGTTCACAACAGCAACAAGGGGTGGAGATCGCGATGTCGAAACAAGGGCATCATTCAAAATATCTGGAACTAGCTCCCATGCGTTCCTATCTGCATCATAGAACTCACCGTAGGTGAGATAAACTCCTCTTTCGTTTTGCCCTCTGATCACGTAGAACTTGTTGTCCATGTAACACCCTGAACACATTTTCCTCCATTGATGCATCCTTGGAAGCAGAACCCATGATTCTTCTTGAATCATTCGATCTCCTCCGTGAGAAGCTTGATTTTCTCATCGTTCTCTCCCTTACCGTGCAGCAACCCAGACTTTTCCTGCTCCAAAACTTCAATCCTCTTCAACTCAGAAACAATGCCACCACCAACTTAGTTGGTCTGTATCTGACCAGAGATCTCAGACCTTCAAAGTGGCATGAATTTGATACAACAGATCTCAAACTTAGACTCATGCTGCACATCGCAACAGATACAATCCAGATCTCAACCTCCGCTCTAGAGATCCGACTCATGCTGTACATCGCTGGAAATCTCAGACTCAAAACTTATTTGGCCGATCTACACATTGCAAAGACTCATGCCACTCTAGATCTCAGACTCAAACTCATCTATGCAAACTCCGGCCAGTTCAATATTTAACATTCAAAAGAGGGGAGAAGAGGTTAGGGAAGGAGTTTTTCTTTTGACTTAAAGGTGGACATTTCATCCTTTTCATTCTTCCTCTGGGCGACGACACAACATCTGAAGTCTGATCTCTTTATCTTCTTCCTGGGTGACAGTGGTGGCACTGCCCTGTAACTCCACCCGCTGCTCTGTAATTCCACCCAGCAGCAACAACATCTGAGCTCCGAAGGGTAGTTTAGGCATTTTGCATTGTTTTTGATGGAGGTTAACGGTAAGAATAGAATTAGTCAATTGGCAGAAACAATAAGGGTAGCATTAATCAATTTACAAACACTAAGGGTACACTTAGTCAATTAGCTAAACCATAAGGGTAGTTTAAGAAATTTACCCTTAGAAAAATTCCCTTTTCTTTTTTTTTTTTTAACTCGTGACTCGTGAGTTGAGAATTAGTTTTGATCCTTATCGAATAAACGAACACGTATGCGTTGAAAGGTGTATGGGAAGGTTCCCACTAGAGAAAAAGAGTGAATGGCATTGAAATAATACTTCTGGTTTCATCTTCGCTCTTTTCTTTCTGTTTCAGCAAGAAGGTGAAGGTGGAGAAGCGTCAAGAAGCAAGTATCATGGGCGGTGGTAAGTCCGCTTTTGTTGATCTCCGTTTATGTACAGATACACTCGATCTACTTCACTTTCTTCTTCCTTCTCCCTCCGTATTTGAACTTTTGATGAAGAAATCAGTACCCATGTTGAATTTGCAGAGAAAGAAAGATCAGAGGATTCCACCTCAGAAGCCCCATCGTCATCCT